CACCTCCTTGTAGGATAGCTAACAACGCACTGCCCCTGCTCTTGTACGAGACTGCAGCGTAGTCTTGCGCAAGAACTCCACCTCACCTTCCAAGGCCAGCCTGTCTCCATCCGTGTAATTTTGTGAAGGAGGATTATCACAACTCGCTCCACTACCATCCACCATGTCTAATACCACCACCGCACCTCCCTTGTTCCCAACGTCGACCATAATCCTGAGCCCTATGGCTCAGTTTTATGTCGACAACGCAAATCTCCAGATTGCACCTTGGGTTATGGGCACATTTGCAGACTTTTTCCTGTCAGGTGAGATAATCTTACCATTTTGGTTTCCCGGCCACCGAGAGTTTCGTGGCCACCGAGAGTTTCGCCTTTTCGGCGACTCAATGCGAACAGCCATTAGCCGGTGCCGTACCTCGCTTCTCCTGTTCCTCTCTTCCTTTCCTTTGGGCCATTCACTCAATGGACCAGCGACGGCCTTGTCGCCGACGAAGAATACCAATACTGATCTTCTCTTCCTTCCTCGTCAACAGGTATCCTGGCAGTCCAAGTGACCAACTACTTTTTGTATTCGGAAAGCGGCTCGGCGCGACGCTTCACATGGCTCGTCATCGTTCTCATCCTTTTGTGCATCCTGAAGTCGGTGCAGGATGTCGTGATCGTATGGCAGACGGTCATTGAGAACTTTGCCAACCCGGACAGGTCGATGATGCTCGTCGGTATCTACTGGTGGCATTACACTACCAGTCTCACGGTTCGTAATTCCTTTGCTTCGTCTTCCAGATGTGCGGGATAGCTAATTATCTTCATAACGCCTTCTCCTTCTCCTCAAACAGACCGGCGTCATCGCGACTTTTGTCCAAGGCTTCTTTGCTTATCGGTACTGGATGCTCACAAAACGATGGTGGGCTTCTGCTCTCATGGTTCTCGGCATGATTGTTTCTTTCGTCGGATCTATTCTCGTCGTACGTACCAAGCCTTTCCCACAGCGGCCTCGGAATGCCAACCTCATTGCCAATAGATTGTCTATATTTCGAGGATCGACCACGTTCAAGTCAAAAAGTGGTGTACGTACAGTTCCCTTTTCGTGGCGTAGAGCACCTGTCTGAACGACCCTGCAGCATTGGTTCACTTTGTTGCGGCCATCATCGTGGACACGTTGATCACTGTGGGCACTGCTGTGCATTTGCAAAGTCAAAAGTCGAACATTCAATCGTACGTTTCCGTCCCGTTCTCCGAGGGTTGCGTATACTGACGCTGGCGTAGCACCTCGGACATGATTGATCGTCTGGTTCGCATGACTTGGCAATGCGCGTTACCACCTACTCTCATGGTCGTGGTCAATGCCGCTGTTTTGGAGTCGAGGCCATTGGAACTCACGTACGTACCCGCTCCTCCTCAACACCAGAGTCGTTTGCTGACAGTTTGGGAACAGACACATTGCGTTCAACATGGTCTTGCCCAAGCTCTACGCCATCTCGCTCATGTATACTCTCAATCTCCGCAACAAGCTCCGCAGCGAGCGCATGACCTCGCACGAACGCTCGACGGGCACCAACCCCAACCATCTCGGCAAGCGCTCCTTTGTTCCCAACGACCTTGCGTACCGCAGTGGAGGTGCGGCTATCGTGAGTGGTGCTGGAACTCCTGGACAGCTCGAGAGGGGTGTCAGCTTTGTCGGCGGCAGAGGTCGTGGATACAGTGCTGGACATACCACCTCTCGCGGACGGCTAGATGGTATTCATGTCGAGACTCATATTTCCACTCATGGTGGAAGCTCAGGCGGCGGTGTAGAGGTGAGCATTTGTCGTTTATAGAAGAGGGACTCGGGACTGACGTGACTCTTGTAGCTCGATACCTTTAATGGCGAGATCGTAAAGGCTCCTATGAAGGGCTCTCCTTATGAAAACGACGACTGGGAAAGCGACAAAAAATACCATGCTCAATAGATCACAAAAAAGCCAAGCTAACCCACCCTTACTGTAATGATCCACCCCTATAACCACCCCTCCCTCCTCTCCTCATACCTTTCTTCCTGTTCATTTCTTTACTTTACCGTGTTGGTGTTATCTTGCACACCTCGTCTTTATCGCTGTTTGACTGAAGGGACTTGTTAGGATTTAGGTAGCTTTTTGATACTAGACCACAGCCGCTGGATTGTATATAGGGTTTATATCAATCACTACGCAGGCGTTATTATCATGCATCGAACTATGACTGTGAGCTATGATGAGTTTCTGATCGAGTTTCAATGTGGAATTGTTTCTGTGCCGCCGGTGGCGTCAGTCGGCCTCGATGGACTCCTGTTTCTTCATAATTCTTGCTTGTTCTCGTCGCTATTCGTGCCATGCAGTCTTCCAGCGGTAGCGTGTCCGAACCTTGGGGGAGCCATCATCTGTGGTTTTATGCCATGGGCGCGCTCGGCTTCGATTTGTTCTCTAAACCTCGCTGCGTTCTCGCCTGTCGGGTCGATTACTCTTCCAGTATCGCTCTGTTGGGCGGTGGAAGGCTGCTGGTTGCTCTGTTGGACGGTAGAGTCTGGATTAGGTGGCTTGGGTTTGGACTGGTTTCCGCCACCTCCTCGTAGTCTTTCAGCGAGCCCGAATACTATAGCTACTTAGTAAAAGTCAAGGATAGTGTGTA